CACTCTTGGCGTGACTCATTATATACCGACTATAGGTAAATCAAAGTTGGCACTCGTGGAGAATAGAAGAACTATGAAAGTGATGATGGTTTCAAAATTTTCCAAGGGAAGGTATACGAATGCAATCTTAAAATGCTTTTATTTTTCAAATGGAGCATTTTATTTAAATCTGGTTACTGCTATAGTGGTAGAAAAGCTGAAATCTATGTATACCTTTAAAAATCAGAAAAGAAATTATTTTTTCTATATTATAGGGGAAATGTATGTAATGTCGGCCTAAGTGTCCCTAATTTAGGCCCATACATAAATTCAGCAATCGACTAAATTTTCAATAGCAACCAAAAATATCCATTAGAACCGGCCCAATGACGCGTTCATCTAGATAAAATTGATAAATAGCAGATTTTTAGCGATGGGCCCAATTTTAGATCCATAGGCCAACATTAGAGCCATTTCCCCTATGTTTATTGAGTAGTCCTTATGTTTTCTACTAACGTAGCATTAACCAGATTTAAATAAAATGCTCCATTTGCAAAATAGAAGCATTTTAAGATTGTACTCGTATACCTCACCGTGTAAAATTTTGAAACCATCATCACTTTCATAGTTCTTCTATTCTCGACGAGTGCCAACTTTGATTTGCCAATCGGAACAACAACAATAACAACAACAACAAAACTTTTGTCAACTACTGCACACACTGAAAATTGAAGGAGTGCGATCAAGACGCATGCAGATAAGTGGGAAAATAATGAAGCCATTCATCCATGTGTGCAGCTTGACAGAGAAAGGTAACTAAAAAAAGTTGCTCAATTGATAATTGCCCAAGGATGCTAAAAGATTTCTTCGAAGATGATGGTTCCGAAATGTGGCTCTATTTTGTGCACAATCAAGCGGCAATATTCCATCAAACAGTAAAAAAGATAGAAGGAAATAATATAACCATCGTTGAAGTTGCGTCAGAAGTAGGAGAGCTGAAGTTCAAGCTTGAAGAGAGGCTGAAAATGGAATACCTTCCCTAATAAAAAAAATACCATAAATGAACGATAACCCAAATGGTTGAACTATTCCACTAATGATTTGGATGATACCCCGAACACGTCGTTAAGCAAATTAACCATAACAATTTTATTAGGGTTCCTTTAGCAGTATGGAATCAGTTGACCAAGCTTGTAGACGACACTTGGCCACACGCAGGCGTGTTTAGAATTAGCACGCAGAATTTTTATCGAGCATGTATTTTGTACTTGGAAGCTCGTATTGCTCAATTTGAAAAAGTTGATTGCTTTAAGTGTGTTTGAATAAGGTACTTGAATGGTCAGTCGTTCAGAAAAGTTTTGAGTATATTGCAGTATAAGGAGAAAAATCTATACAACTCTATAATAAGAAAAATCCCAAAAGGTTGGTAGCCATCATAATGAAATAATGAAATTGGGTTGTTAGCTGAATGCTTAAATAAAACAGCAAAAAAAGGTTATCTTCCATTTAATTCCACTTAATTAATTTTGGTATCCATGATAGATACGTATTTCGACTACAATGTGCAGTCTTCATCAGTGTCATTCCCACTAAAGAACTTATCAAAATCTAACCCCCTTAAGTACTCATCCCCTAGGTAAAAAATTCAATATCATAGGTATACAAATGAAACTAAAATGTGTTCAGTATTTTGGACAGAGCGCATTAGCCCGGAAAATATCTGGTCACTTTAATGTAAAAAGATAAACATTCCAATGAAATACGAACACCACTAAACATTTGCACATTTCACTAACACCAATAAGCCTGTTGGTCCAGACCTTATATAATGGACATTGCCGTCATTCGTCTGCTCGGCTTGAAAAATTGTGACAGTCATATTTCATAAACTACTTGATCAGAAAGATTTGATTGCATGGTTGCCATATGCAGTTAATCTTGAAACAGCAATTGGAAAATAAATATTAAAATTTGACACCACTGTAAAAAATATATTCTTGATTTCATGTTCTCTTTTTTTATTCTTCTACTTAGAAGAGCGGACGAAAAGAAAATTGAAAAGAATATTGTTTCTCATAATTTTGAAGCAAATGTTGTTTCTCAAGAAGTACGCTAATTATTTTTTTTTCTGAGTTTTTATTATGTAACAAAATATGGGGAACACAATGGTACTGTCAAATTGGAAATCTAAATAAATTCATTCTGATAAATTAAGGTTTTTAGTTTTTAAACAATTACACTTTTGTATTTTTTCTCGGTCACTTGGCGCGAGTGACCCATTTTAATTTCTTGACTTAGATTCGAGTAAAAAGAAGTTTCCGTAGATCAGACATTGTTGAGCACAAAAAGCTATATCTTGGAGAGAATGAAAAAAATGTCAAATTTAAGATAGAATCCCTTGGACTTTTTTGCTAACTCTTCGTATTTCATATCCGTGCTTCACCAGTAATTTGCTTCCGTAGATCGTCCTTGGTTGGTTATGACATGGGTTTTTCTTGTTTTCCTAGGGAGATAAATCCGCACTAATTTCCGTTCTTGGTTAGATGTTGACTCCTTCCTCGCTGGGATCGGTTTCAAGAAGTGACAGTTTCATCAGATTCCCCAACTAACCATATTCAAGCAAAGTAAGTATATAGGGAATTGACTATGCGTGCCACAGGGTGCGGTACTACCAACTAAGATACCTTTAAATTGATCGATAAATACTTCGAATGAACATCTTGCGAGAGTTATGTCTGTTTGTCTGTGCCTTAATGTTATATCACAGACAAACAGACAAAAAAAAAAATGAACATTTCTCATTGTAAACCCTTGCGCCACCTGTCGTATACACTGTGATGTGCAATACACTCAATAGATGGCTGTAGTATGCAATCGTCTATCGAATCGATTATGTGCGCCACAAGTGGCGATACTACCAACTAAGAAACATTTAAATTGGCCGTTAAAAGCGATTTCGATTAATATTTTAAGTGTGTTATGTTTGCTGTTTTGTAATCATACCTTCACTATCGCACTTTTGATCTAATGGCAATCAGTCTCTCATACTCGACTCCCTATACGGTAATCAATGCCGCCACCACTGGCTTTCTAATACCGTGCCTGAACTAATCAGGCTATCTGAAGTCTCTTAACGTCGATTCGGTCAACCGTCCATGTGTCAATGTATATAATACGTTCTTATGCCAAACGAGGTATTTTCTAGTTTGAGAACCTCTGTGCGAGCCATCTTCATGCATATCTGTTATGCTGGGCACAATTTTCACTTAATTAATAGCTCTTTCGTCGCATTCATCGCATGCATTTTTCGCATGTGTCCTAAATGTAACATTTTGTAAATGACCTGAATAATAACCAAATTAATTACCCACTAAACGTTTCCCGCAAACCGTCACCTCCGAAAGCGATTCAAAAAGCGTGTCGATCTCGCGACAGTATTAGTTTCAAATTCAGGCATGTGTTACACAGAGCTATGGGGGAAAAAGATGAAACCACCCAGTGCTGATTGCTGTGAGAGCAGCACCGATGGATGGATGGCCAGTGAAAATTCTTAGAGAAACGCCAATGAAGACAAATTGTCGATGTCAACCAACCGAAGTGACGCAAAGTCATATGAGCGTTGACAAGGGAATGGGAATATGATTTAATCAACGTCGTCTCCAAACGGTCACAGATGCCGGTGGTGCTACCCGGTGATATGTAAACGACTGCTGGTGGCTGGTGAATGCTTCTTCACCTTCCTGATCTCACACGAAAAAAAAACAAATCGATGACAAGTTTGGTTGTAAGTGTAGCGTGCATAATCATAAGGGCCTAAGTGCGAGGATCAATTCTCTTCATCGGTTAGCTCTTTTTTAATAACTCGGCTTTTTTAACATTCTTCGGTACGTTTGATGTTGCTTTTACTACACTGTACTGGATCAATTTCGGAAAATTGGTTCACTTAAATGTAGTAATGCGAAGAGAAAATCGATGATCGCAGTTAGGCCTGTATGATTCCGAACGCTAGAAATATATTTGTGGGTGACCATTATATAGGAGAAGGTACATCGCACCAAGTGAAGTTCGTCTTTGAACTTGCGTTTTTCTCCTCGGATCCATTCTCGTGATCCGTATATTGACGACGGTGGTGATTTTCATGTCCAACTTACAGATGCATCTTTTTTCTATTTTACTCTTGTGCGCGTTTCGGGATATTCACCGACGACGTTCCTCGTTGTGCATTGAGATGCCTTCCTCCCTTGAACTCGCTCGCTTGTAGCCTCTCACAGCGTCGAAATGGATATCGATATTAATTTCAAAGATAGAAAATTTCTGAAAATCTCCATTTCCAACCCTGTTCCGAGCGCCGGTCGTGTGTTTGATGGGTGGTGTTTTAATCATAATTTTCATTTCAATATTTTCTTTATTTATACTTACCGTGCAATGGGGTGAGAGTGTCTCATTCATCATTCACGGTGCTGTTGGTTGTTGTATCCTATTTATTGGTGTGGAAAACGACCGATTAATTGCTTCTCCTGCAGCGCCAGCTTCTCTCCCTTCAACCTACTGCAGTCATGGTCAGTACACGGTTTTTAGCCTTGGGACGCTGGTTGTTTGAATTGATCGGCGTTTTGCATTCAAGTTCGAACGGGCCCGGAATCAAGACCACCAGCGCGTCCTTCGTGTGTGTACATTGAGTGACAACAATTCTCTCTGTTTCTTTCTTCCTGGTGGATAATTTCCCTCAGTGTGTTCACTTTATTCTAAATATACCTAATGGTTCATATTTTTATTGAAAAGTGCTTCAGTCTCAGCATTCGGTTGAAATTGATCGTGGAATCTAGTTTATGTAATAAGTATTGATTTTCAATCGAAGCCTCGCACGAGTACAACCTTCAGTTCTAAACTAGGCGTTTTCCCTTCCGGTTTACTTTCATACATTGCTGGTCAACATTGACGGTGGTTCCGTTCCTGTGTGAGGACAACTCTTGTGCTTCAGTGCGCTATTGTACATCTTTGGAACGTATACGGAAGTGGTAGATCAGTCCCGGAAGGTACTCATCAGTTGATCGCTTCTTTTTGAGATTCCAGTGCACCGCTAATGAATGTTGAGTTGAGTACACAATGTGCAAAGTATCGTGCGCTTTGGAATGGATGTATCTAGTCGTGCGTTTTACTGCTTGCGTTTAGCATGAAATTTGAACCCGCAAATATCACAAATTTTCCACAGAGATCAATCACCGTTCTGCTGCCTAAAGGGTGACTGGTCTTATATTGGACAAGGGCTCCATATTGATTCAATATGACAATTTTCATCAATACCAGTTTTCAAGATTTCAACGCATCAAGTCCAACTAGATAATGGTAAAAGTAATTTTTAATGATTAGACGAATACTTTATAAAACTCCATCAAACATAACTAAAATAGGAATGTAGCTCCAATAACGGATCATCTACCCCGTATCGTTATTATTTGATACATCTAAGTGTAATCCTGTTTAGCGCGCTGAGTTTCCCTCGAGTGAATATGGTGATGGATGCTAATGTCAAACGGGAAGTTGCGGTGCCAGAGACGTAATCGATTTCACAAGTTGGCAAGTGTTTTTCTGGTGCATTTGATCGCTCTTTTGATCTGTGTGTGCAGCACATGTCAGCTTTTCCGTTTCATTTTCGTCATTGTTTGCCTAGTGTGAGGCTTAAGGTGAAAGTGAGCGTCAAATGGGCGTATAATATCGCATTTCAATTGGATAGGTGATATTCTAATAATAGAGGATGACGTTGAGACAAAGTAAGGATTGAATCTATAAAAGGTTATTAAAGCATGCATTCTGGTTGGATTCGGATTGCAAGTTCGGTATTTTTTTGTTTGTGTCTTGCTTTCATTTGGTTGCGCTAAATAAATCATCGTTTAATTTTATTAAAAAATACTATAAGTTTTTCTCGTATTATCATGGATCACATTCATTACATACTTTTAATGCTTTATACTAAGTAAAGGTTGAACACGAAAAGATCCGGACACGAAAATCTTGTTGATGTTTAAAAATGCGTTTTATTTTTCATAGTTCAATGTAACAGCTGTACATTAATATTGTATTACGCTTATTGATAGACCATTGTTTCAGTCTTCCTTCTTACCATAAGCCATTGCCCGATCTTTTCTTTGTACACGGCCCATCATCTTTTGCAGGAGCCATGTTCCCACTTGTTTGGCTACCAAATTCCATTCCTGCTTGAAATCCTTAAGGTCAATTGCAGTTATGCCCTTTTTCTTCAATATGTGCTCCACAATTGTCCAGGGTTCCTAAATTGGCCTTAGTTCCGGAGTATTGGCCGGATTCATCTCCTTGGGAAACGGGGACGCCAATTTCGCTGTACCACTGTTTGGTGGAATTTGAATTGTGGCAGCTAGCCAAGTTCGGCCAGAGTAGGCAATCCACCTCATGCTGCTCCAGAAAAGGCAGTAGTCTCTTCCGTAGGCATTCCTCTGGGTAAATTAGCTGGTAACGAAAATTTCGTTTTTCAGCCCACAACTGCAGATTGCTTGCCGGACAAGGAACTTTTTGGGGAATTTCGGCTTTTTTATTTAACATACTTCCGGTTAACCAAGGTATAAAATACCTGCCCAGGAATTTTATCGGAAAACTGCCAGGAGCGGATAGACCGGGATTTTCGTTTCGAGCGTGCAAGATCGAATCGCAACTTGCTTGCTCTGGTAAAGCCATGATGTAAACAAATGAATTTATCCTGGCAACCAATGCCTACTGTGATTATATACACTCTTAGCTTTATATATTCAATGAATTTTTGAAAAAAAAAAAAATCTCAAAATTAATGAGTCCGGATTTTTTTACGTTCAATTTTTATTTACACACACACAATTTTATTTACACACACGCGATTTGTTTAATTTTTACCATGTCTAAATTAAAAAAATAAGCAAACAGTGTTTTTCAAAAACTGCAGTGACATAACATTGAGAACGAGCATGTTTACACTCAGGAGTCACAACTATTTCTTTTTAACCAATTTTCTACAGTGCGAATATTTGAAACTGTAAGCTTTTAGAAATACACAGCCAAGCGTAATCAACCAGATTTTCAGTAGTTTTTCCGAATGCCGTAGTGCTAGATGTTAAAGAGTTTCATGTTGTCCCATCGACAAAAATCGACTATTTTTTCAACGAGCAATAAGTCTAGAGCAGGGCGCTCAAGATTAATCAATGAATGGCTAATGAAAAGCATTTATCATGAACTTCTATACATCAATAAATAATCGTTATCAATATAAGGTAATTAATTTCGATTAATGATTTACGATTATTGTCTACAAAGCAATATTACAAATTTTGATTATTCATTAATCATTTATCACTTAGGTGAGCTGTGCAAATAACATAACGCAAAAATTCAGATTTTGGACCCCCCCCCCCTCAACCCTATGTAATAATAAGTAACGCTTGATAAGACTACCCCGCTAAAATTAATTATTGAATTGACAGATTATTCAATCTCTAAAAACATCTCAATTAACAGTTGGGAAGTTTTTACTACACAAGGGTTGCTAGATTTATTTAACATCAACTTTTTTGTTTCGTTATTGAATTTCCCATCTATTACCATAAAGGACCAAACATAGTCATAAATAGATGTTAGAAACATATCCATATAGATGGCGCCAAAACATAACTTTTCATTCTGATACTTTAAAGACTTCTCGACAAAATTTGAACTATCTATCTACTCTCTTGTAAGACCATTCTCTTGCTAATAAATTATCACACTAAAGCTTCATCTTAGATAGCATTTCTAACCAACTTTGAATTGTATACCAGATCATAAACAAAAAAATTGCTTAAGAATCATTTGAACAAATTTGAACCAAAAAAAAAAAAAAATTGAAATTAAATTTAATGAATAAATTAAATTAGCGATAATTCATAGCATAAGCGAAAATTGATCATACATAAATAGTATTCGTGGTTTCAACCTTGGATTTTTTTAGAGACTTCAGAATGTGATTTTATTTTATTTTTTCCAAAATTGAAAAAAAAAAAAGAAAATCAAATATTCAAATATTTATTAATTGTTTAAGAGATTGATAATCTTATGTCATGATCAAGCAGCTGTTCTGTGGGCAACACTGTATTCTGCAGTGTGACATAGTAGCCATGATATTTGTGCTCTATTATTCGCACCAGAAACACCAATGCTGCCTGCTGAACAGTTGAATGAGCATAATCATAAGACATCAGTGACTTGAATCATTAATAACTTTTGTTCCTTACATTTAATTGAAAAGTTGTAACTGAGAAAATACAATCACTGTTATCATTTTTAAAAGCATAGTGATGTGGTGAATTGTTAGATAGCTATGAACAAAAACATAAGTTTTCCCATAGTAATTCCCATATAAACATGACATGGTTTGTGCCAAGTCAGTAAAGTAGTTCAAATTTTGGAAGGCTAAGCAGGACTCAATTTGGAACCGTTTAAGCACTGTGGAGCGAAAATTTCAAATTTTGCATCAGTCCAATGGTCATTGGTAACTTCATAGTCAGATTGTCACAATGTTGAGATAAAATGCGACTTATCTGGTGTCAATGATGACACAGTGTAACCTTTCTGTGTCGATCTAATGTTATCAATCGGTTGAACTGTAAGTGAGTTGCCACATTGACCGAAAAGTTACGACCTGTCAAGTTCGTGCTAAAAAGTTGTTACGTTGAAACTTTATTTTTATGACGAATATGTAACTTGGCAATTATTGTATGCCGCATTACAGTTACATTTTCGTTTCAGCGTGACCCTAATAGTTGCATGTCTCCAGATGGTAACACAAATGCAATCTTTATTATCTAGAAAAAATGAGAGCTACACTGCAGCTCTAAAATGTTTCACCAATCACAATCTTATTGTTTGTTCCTTTTTTTTATCCAAATGGTTAATTATTTAATTAATAGTGATGTTATTGTGAATGCTGAGCCATAAGGACAAATTAATAGAAACGAGTTTTCATTATAATATCCAGGCTTGTAATTGCTCATGCTATTTTTCGTAATTATGAAGCTATGGATACTATAACAATAATTTTAATTTGTAAGAAGCAAGAAGAGGTGGAAAATTTTGTGGTTGACAAATAAAATCTGTCAATTTTGCTTTCAGTAGGTCACAACTAGCGATTTTATGATCGCTGATTGCTCGCTCATCGTTGCCGCTAATCGCTATTGTGACCCTCTGAAAGCTAAATTGACAGGTTTTATGTGTCATACACACACTTTACCTTTCTCTTCTTGCATCTTGTAAATAACAATTATCATTAAAATAACTCATAACTTCATTAATCCGAAAAATATCATTTTAGCTGTAATGATCATTTGCAAGCTTGATAATATCAAGTACTTTTCATATCATGAAACTTCTTTTTTTTAGAAGTGTAACTCTCAAACCGAGTGAACACAGAAGATTTTTTTCTTCGGATCATATATGGCCAGTTATATGTTAATAATTCAATTAAAATATCCCCCGAAGAACGCGTTACCCACTGAGTTGCACCCACCGCTTTTTCTCGGTGGTTCATCAAGTCGGTCTGATTTTTTGCATGTGAGTAGAGTCAATAGAGAACTAGCCACTCGTAGAAAATCAAAGCGCTTTTTAGTCCAAACAAACCACGACCCTCGTGGCCTCCTGAAACTTTGCGGCCTCCCTGTCGACCGTGGACCACCGGTTGAGAAGCCCTGCCCTATACGCTATCTGACCAATGGGCAGGGTAGTTTACAGTTTATATCAAAACACATTAAAGCGAATGAGAACTAATTGATAAGATTATTTCCGGCCATATTGAGCTTCCAGGCCCCTATTGACCATACCAGCTTATGATCCTAGTATATGTCTTCGGAGAAGCTAAATCAAGTGACATGAGAATTTGAAAGTTCAATTTAGTACCAAGAATATTCAGGGGAGTTATTAAATGTGAGCTTGAGCAATTTTGCCGGAATTTTATTCAGTGAGAAGAGTCAGATAGATAGGTTTTAAGGCAGCTACAATTTGTAAC